ATTATGGACTACCAGCGCCAAAGCCTTACACGACAGCACGAAAACCTTGCCGCGATATGCACGCATATGATCAAACCCGGATACGTCAACCTCGACAACTACAAGGCCTTGCTCACCCGAGCCAAGTCTCTCGACCGACACGACCTAATCACCATACACTATGTCCCCATTATTCTGCGACTCACGTCCTGGGTCGCATCTGAATCCAACAACGTCATGCTAAGAGAAGCGCGCGCCCTCCACGACTCGCTTATGGCTGGTCGGGAAAGCGACAACTGGGCGCTGAGGAATCTACATTCGGCGACTTTAACTTGGTGGCTGGCCGAGTACAGTGGGCGGTACATGGACCCCAACACCCAGGACGCTGCTCTGCAGGGCATTAATTTCGAGGACGAGGCCAACGCTCGATCTGAAATCTTCCTGAAAGCACTCAACGATGGCGCCTTCCACTTCATGCTTTCCGTCAGTCAGGACGTGCGCCCCACGCGCTGGTACGACCCTCAGAAGACCAGCATGCTGTCCACGCTGTTGCAAGACACCACCGTCCTGAGCAGAGACTCAGCGCAACCCGAGGAATTCTTCAAGGAGCTTCTCATGGAACAACTCCAAACTTTTGTCGACTCGTTCATCACTCATATGCCCGATACCTTACGTAAACTGAAGGCGGAAGAGGACGACCAAAGACGACGATTACAACTACACTTCCAGCGCTCGACTGGAGAGTATCCGCTTCATTTGGAACGATTCATGGTCATTGTCGCATACGCTTTCGACGGATTCCCAGATGCAGCAGAAGACTTTTGGAGCGACAAAGAAAGTAACCTGTACGGATTCCTGCAATGGGCAGCCAAGCGCCAGCCGACACCTCGGATAGCCATGTTTTGCGAGATGTTACGGGCGATCGGTTCTGGAGAGGCGAATGCGGAAGCGGCACATCGATTCTTGCTCGAAGAGGGAGCGTCTGCTTCTGGCAAGATTCGCCGAACCAGTTCGCTCAGCTACACAACCATCTTTAACGAGCTGCGCGAGTTCGAGAACGATATCCACGAGCCGAAGAAGACGATTCAGAGCAGTGTCTACGCCCCAACGAATCCAATCGACCAGATCGTTGAGCCGGAAAGCGCAACTATGCTGGAAAGCTATTTGAGACTCATTGCCCACATTTGTAGACAAAGTGCTTCTGCACGTATGTGGATATTGGATCTCAAAGAGTATCACTTTGCTGGTATCTGCTTCGGCCTGTGCACTGACAAAGTCGAGAGTGGGCTTCGCGCGGCCGCGTACGATGCCCTGTCAGCTCTGCTTGTAGGCAAGGACGCTACGCGTGCAGATGCGATGTGGAGTCTCCTGGATGAGTGGACGGTCAATGGCTTCTATACTGGATCTAGACAAAACAATGCTCTAAGCGCCACACCGAGAGACGATTTGTGGCCTACGCTCGCTGACGGATATGATGAATCTATCGCTCTGGTCCGATTCCTCCACTCACTCGTGGAGCCGTACCCGGAAAACGAAGGTCTAAATGACAGTCTGCCGTTCCCCGAGAGCCTAGGATCATCGCGCAGAATGCCGGGTATCGAGGGTTACATTGACTTCGTCATGCAGCAGGTGTTCGCAGAACGCTCCTTGGAAGTGAACGAACCTCTTCAACGCAACGTTATGCGGTGGACATGCCTGCGGTTCATGGTAACATGTCTGTCCACCTTCAATGAGAATCTCGTTGTGTTCGCAAACAAGTCTAGCATACCTGTTGATGAGGTCATTGATCCCACATCGCTTGCTGTATACGTTGCGCTTCACCCGTTCGCTCGCGTCATGGAATGGCTCTTCAACGACAAGGTCCTCAAGGCTCTTTTTGCTGCTTCGCATCATGACGTGACCGAGGTCGATGCTGCCCCATCCGACTCACCACTCATTCAGTCTTTAATGCTGAGCATTGAGGTTATGGATCTAGTGATGAAGCTTCAAGCGACTTACTTGGACATCGTCAAGCCAGTTCTCAAGCAACAAACGTCATTCCACCATTCTCCTGTATCGAACCTGTCGCTTGCGTCCTTCGAAGACGCGATCCTGAACAACTTGCAAATTATTGTCGATCTTGGACTCTACTGTGGTACTGGCCATGAAGCCTTGACTATTGCTTCGCTCCAATTACTAGAGAAGATGGCTTCTTCACGGAAACTGGCTGTATCTCCTGCGGGCTTCGGTCAACGATCGGGACGAAGCAAGATTGTCGGCATACTGGAGAAGGACAACGAAGCGGAACGCATAGGTCGGTCTCTCTCGGGATTGATGCGCTTCAGCGCCGACGAGCTTGAAGCTGGCGAGGAAGCTTCCGGATACATAGTCAAGCTTCGCGTTCTGGACTTTTTGAACAGCTGCCTCGCTGCTGTGTCCCTCCGGCCAACGATAGCGCATATCCTTCTCGGCTTCTCCTGTGGCACCAATACTGTCCGTATCGCCGAAGACAGCCTCTGGTCGAATGGCCAAGCCTTGTTCCACAGCATACTTCTTCTCGGTGTTCAGTATCCTGACAACGACGGTGAACAGTTCATAGCTTGGCGGTCTGCGCTCAAGACGCGATGTTGGGATGTTATGCAAAAGCTCTGGCGGTCCACATTGACAAGCGCTATCATCATGGAAGAGCTCCGCGATAACGAGTTACTATTCATTGAAGCACCCCAGCTGACTCCTATCACACTTGATATACCCTGGGAAGGGATGTCTCTTGCACAAGGGCTCGAAGTTGCACCCAGTGACTACTCTCCCTTCTTCTCAGGACCACCAGCACTCGCTCTTCAGAGCTTCCTCCAAAGACGCGCTGCTTTCCTGGACTACGAGTCGAGAGAACTCCGCTTGACAGTAAAAGAGAGCATGCCCACGATGAAGTCCAGGATCCAATCTGTCCTTCTTGGCACCACCATACGACCTGGTGAAGACGCAACACTGAATCCAAACATCTTCGATTTGTTCGACTTCATTGAGCTGACATATCCCGAGCGTGCTCTGCCCGACCAGCACGCATTCTTTGAGGGCGTAAATTTGACTTCATGTCAAGAAGAGAAGGAAGGTAGCAATCTTTACTCTCTGCCACTACTGGAGCAAGTCATTCGCCTCAAGATGAAGTATTGGAGAAAGGCAAACATGATTCAGGATGAAGAGAAGGAGGAACTGCTGCTCCAAGAGGCCGAACTGCTCATGGCTATCTTTTTGGATTGGAACCGACGCACACAACTTCTGCGTTACCACAAAGATATTCTCCAGTCGTGGGTGCAAGTTGTCATGGTTGCGGTACACAGCTGCGACTTTGAAAACGGCGCGCGCAGTTCCTTCATCATGCAAACTCTACAGGTCATTCTGCCAAAGCTTGAGCAATCCTACACGTCGGATATCTTTACCGCCCTCCAACTCGCTAGCCTAGCGGAATCTCTTGTGCAGAAGGTTGACTTCGAATCGACTGCGTTCGACAAAACAGGCGACTTTGCGAACGATCGACTCTCTCAATTATTCCGTGCCGCGCTAGTTGGCATCTACAGCCCGGTGTCGACAGCCGAACTACGAGAGTACTGCTACCAGATCTGCTTCCGCTACATCCACGGTACCTTCAACAAGGCGACACCCAACTCCCTGCTTGGTCGCCATACACTCGGAGCCATCAAGAATTGCGGCACCAACATGCTCGAGGTGATATGCGACGACGCCTACAGCGGGCAAGGAACATGCAAGGTATCTGCCTTACTCTTGCTTAACGCCTTCGTAGCGGCAGCAACTCGTCAATCATCCAAATACATCCTCGATAGCTTCGTCTCCCTAAACTTCGTCGGTGTCCTCGTCGACAACATCAAGCATATCCCCGAGGAACTACGCGCTGCCGCCGCACCCCAAGTACCCGTGCTACTGTCCTACTACGATGCCAGTCTCGCTCTCCTCCTCCGCGTCTGCCAATCCCGCCTTGGCGCTGCTCACGTCCTCGACGCCGGTCTCTTCCCCGCTATCCGCGATTCTCAGATCTTCTCCGTAGACCCAGACATCGGTCTTGAGTTCGACGATCCGAATGCACTGCGCAAATACTACGAACTCATGCTCGCTGTACTTCGTGTCATCAACGCAGCAGTCATTGCACGAGGAAGGCAGAATGACCAGACTGTTTTCCAGGCCCGAGAGTTCTTGAAGGATAACCGACACAGTATGGTGAGCATCTTCAAGAGGAGTGTCAATGTGGGCGTAGGTATGGGTGAAGAATTACAGCAGGATATTGTGGATTTGGTGGATTGTTGGACGGTTCTGGTAGATGTCACTGGGTTCTTGCAGGTAAGATATCACGATGATTCCGGAAGTCAGGGAATCTTAACTAACAAACTGCAGTATGAGGATCAATCGAGCTTGAAGAAGGTCAGGCCGAATATGTTCTCTTAACGGACGTCACGCATGAAAGGAGTTGAGCCTAGAGGAGGATTGGTGATTTTAAGCGTCTGGCAAAAGCGATGGAGCATGTAATTGGTAGTGGCTGCGTGCTTGATAATTTTGAATCGCGATCATCTAATTCAACAACACACAATATCTAGACGTAGTATCGCGTGATGAAGGGTATTTGTCATTTGGGGCTTACTCAGCCTCGCGTGCCTGACGGAACTTATTGGTTCTTTGTACGGACGGACCCTGGAAAGTGCATCATCGCCGCCTCCTTGCATAAATATCCTAGCCAATCGTACCACACGCCCATCTTGGCGTGCGTGAGGCTGCGTGAGGTTACCTAAGGACATTTTCGTCCACTTCTGCTCGTCATGAGTTCAAGTCTCCTAACGTCTTTTCATGACTCAAACACGTCCAAAAATCGCTCGCTGAGATGAAGATCTTCGAGACACAAGTCCAGGGATTACGACACCATGGTATACCGGGGCAAGCCGTCGACGGCTTGCGCGGAATGCAGGAAACTGCGCAGTCGGGTAAGTCTCCAATTCCTTGTTGAGTACCCAGAATTATCGGCCAACTACAATTCAATGTACTGTAAGCGTTTGTATAACTCGCTTGTCAGGATGCGACTCGCATGCAACCTTTAGCATTTCGCTGATCATTTTCAGTGTGACAAGAAGCTGCCAGCATGTGGGCAATGCATCAAAGCTGGCCGTGGTTGTTCGGGTTACCGCAGCACGGTAGATCTTATGTTTCTTGATGAAAGCGTCCGAGTTGTTACCCAGAATCAGACCCACGTTCCGCCTCGAGATGCGCATCCAGATACGCCGAGAAACAGATCCCGCCCAAGAGGGCAATTGGCAAAACGCCTGGTGGCTGATTTCCCTCTCAAGTTGACTGGCTTCATCATGTACCAGCCGTTGAATGACCTTGGTGTCAATTTCTTCATGACAAACTTTATTGTGGACGATCCTGCCATGTCCCTACTGGATTACTTGCCCGATTTCTACGCAAAGATGGCTCACTCCGATCCTGCTTTGCCGCAAATCTGTGCAGCTGTTGGTCTGGTTGGTCTGGTCAACAAATCTCATAATAGGGACATGCTCAGTGCCGCCACGCACAACTATGGTGCTGCAATCCGGGCTATCAACAATGCACTGCTGTGTGCGAAGACTGCAGTTCAGGACTGCACAGTCGCATCGATTTATCTGGCAGCGATGTTTGAGGCGTTGGTCCTTCCAAGGCGCGCAGGTATGGATAATGCCAGTATCCATCTAGCTGGTGCTGTTTCTGTCGCACACTTGATCCTGCAGCAGCAGAAACAGACTGACGTTACCATTAAGCTATGCAATACATTGATAAAGACTATTGTCATGGATTGCTGGATCCAAGGAGTACCACTATCGCGTAATATTGTTGACTTCCAGAGGCTGGTGGAGAAGAAAGCAGAGCGTGTCCTGGTAGATGACTCCTTTCTCAACATCATTCTTACCCTGCTTCAATTCAAGGAAGAGTATCGGGATGCGGATAAGGTTGATCCAATGGTCGTCGTTCAAAGCGCATTGGCTCTTGACGCAAACCTGGATGAATACGCACGCGACCTGGCACAGGAAGCTCCTTTTGAGAATCGTCAGCTTCCCGACGCTGAGCATAGCCATCTCGCGCACAAAGGCTACTTCCATTGTAAGTAAATCATGTCATTACACTTTGCATTTCGCGAAGCTAACCCAGAGAGTACGCCCCCAGCATCTGCACGCACATATATGGAATAGCGTTCAGACAACTCACATACGCCTCCACCAGGCCATTACCCGCGAATGCGACAATGCAGCATCTTCGCTGGATTCGAGTACCAAACGCGCATCATTCAAGAGACTCATCGTTTCAACAATCATGGAATTGCTTGCAAGTGTACCGCAAGCAGCAAGTTATGTACAAGATAGTCAGGTACCGCCAGTGCCTCCTCCAAGGGTCGCTTCCTCAAGTTCGCGCAGTACCTCAGCCGACCGGGAGACGCACGAGCCCGATGGTCACACATCTATACCGCAGTACAACAACCACAGTCTGCACCATATACTCCACCAACTCTACAGTCACGGATCGGAGCTCTGCCTGCCGCAATCCAACAAGATTGAATCCAACAATGGATAACATGGTTCGAGCAAAACGCCGGTTCTTCGAGTCTGACAAGCTTACAGAACACGGTCAGCCGACGGCTGTGAGATCTCCTTTGATGGGATGAAGCCTAAGTGAATGCCTATTGCGAAAAGCTTCTGTTTGGTACCACCGCTGATCGAATTAGGTATACAGACCATTAGAACCGGCTGCAGCAGTAAGCTGTCACCATATTGAACACGGTGGAGGCCATCTCTTTCTACCCCATGCTTGTGTTTTTATCAGGAGGGGGTGTTGGCTGGTAGAATGAATAGCTAGTGTAGTGCCGCATATACTACATGTGTTTCCTAAGTGGAGAGATGAATAGCCTTCAAGCATGGTGTAGTTGACCTCGCGCAGAAGTGTTGAGGCTCGACTCTTTCTTAACAACACCTTTCGCACTAAACCGACTTGTAAAACATCTCGTCTATCTTGCAAAGGCGAGCATTGCAACCCGATTGATTCAAAGTCTACAACTAAGCTTCTAGTACTACGACTTCCACATGAATGCTGAGCCACCTAAAAGATCAGAAATCTCTTCATTCCCTCGCATCGTTGACGATTCCAAGGCAATTTAGCTCAACATCTTCTCGATGGTTGGCTCAAGCGGTTCCGGGCGTCTTCCAGCCTCCTTCAGAAATTCCTCAAGCGTAGGGTCATCAATGTCGCACTCTCCATTCTTGATCCCATCGTACGCGCTGCTCCACCACTCGACTTGACCGCGGTCAATCCCTCTCCCGATGTAGTAATCATCAAACTCCTTCCTGCTCACAACTTTGACCTGAACATTCTGACCCTTGACTTTGCTGACAATCTTTGCAATGTCCTGCAGTGTCCACGCCTTCCTCTGGCAGATATGTACCGTCTTCCCACTCCAATACTTGCCCGACCCAGCGATTACCTTGGCCGTTCTGAAGAATATGTCGGTGATACTGGTGAAATTCAGGCCGCCATCGCCCGCGACAACAATCTCTTTCCTTATGTCATAAAACCTGCCCTGTCCAAATATACCGATACAAAACCCTCCCAACCCTGGCTTGAATATCCTGCGCCGACGTCATAACTTCGGCCTATCTGCCCAACGTAACTGCACGACAACACAAATTTCGTGTTTGGAGCTGCCAAGGCCTGAGATTCGTTGTGCAGCAGTTTGTAGTGACACCGAAGTAACTCCTTTGTATTAGTGTGATAAACAGGCTGCTGAAAGAATGCAAAGTGAACGCTATCGAGCTACACTTTAATTCACCATGGTGAAAATCTATTTTCCGAATACCTAGGTCGTTTACAGGATAGTGGCGAACTTTGTCTAAAACAACGAACATTTTTGCTGTTCAAGAAATACAGAATCTAGAGCGAGAACCATGGCTATCACTGCTGCATTCTAAGTTTCCTTTCACTGTCTATGATTGAAAATTGAGGCTTTCAAACGTGTTACTCTGCTAATTACAGCCGTCGTTCTCTTGACGTTGCTAGAACTACGTACATTCACTTTTGGAACGCGGTAACAAAGGTATTCGACACCAATCCATCAAGACCCCTTTTCGCTTCTTGAACAGCTGCGTTTCCAAGTACTTTCTCTCGAGTCTGGATCTGAAAGTTAGCCAACTGCTCTTCACCAATCTACCATAAAAGAGACATTTGAGACTTACCTCCATGCTCTCCCATCCCAATACACCAACCCACCGCTTTTCCTCTAGATTTACGCTTGGCCCTTGAATGCTCTCTTCAGTTCCGTTTGAGCCACTTGCTTCCGCAACTGCGGTAACAAACTTCTTCCACGCCTCCCTAGACTCTGCTACTTTCTCGCTACCCTCCCCAATCTTCACCTGCCACACCTCCGTCAACGTACTTCCAAACACCTTGGTCGGTTCAGAGTCCGTGTTGTATAGCTGAGGGACTGGTGGAGCGATAGAGTGAGGTATCACTAGAGACTTGAAGGTAACTTCGAAGTCTTCTGAATCGACGAAGGACTGGAAATGTGAAGCGTCTTTCCACTCTATCAGAGCATCAGCATTAGACCATGTTCGACTGTTCGGCAGGGAGATGAGACGGGGCATAACCGACCAAGTCCAACAGCAAGTCTAAAGTCTCCTGACACATCATTGCCATTCTCGAGAAGAATCTTTCCGAAATATTTGTGCTTGGGAGGAGTGGCATGTTTATCGAGGATCTCGACGAGGAAGGGTCCGATCTTGTTGGTGAACACAGCTTCCGTCGCAGGATCTGTCTTCAAAGTCGGGATGACGAACTCGGTGAAGGCCATTTTTGGTGTTGTGGTTGATTGATTGATTGAGAAAGCAAAGGATGTGTGACTGTGTTAATGATCCAAGAAGTTGCAATTCGACTTGGTTATATACAATCTTTCCCTACGTTACAGTATTCTGAAAGCTTCTGTAAGGGTTGAATTTGTCAGATCGATAGGCAGACGGCCGAGGTTCGTCGTGATGTCGTGATAACTAGGCATGCTACCCGAGTAAAAAAATCACAAGATGCATTCTACACACGACTATCTTAAACTACTCATTTTTTTCTGAGTAAAACTGACTTATTACGAATCAACTTAACTAAGCCTTTCAGGGAGAGTTTCGTAAACAGCCAAGAGTTCGATCGCCTAGGGATGGGCGCTAATTGCAAGCGCTGGCTGATCCCGTGCTGTCAAAAGCATAGTTGTGCATACACTGATCTGCGCCGATCCTAGGGGCCGAGATCTTAGTCGTTTCCAAGTTTACACAGTCCTGTCCAACCAATCACGACTTCGGAACCGAAACTCCGAGGTCTTTAGGTTTTGGATATCACTAATCAAGAAGGAAAGTTTAGCTGGCTTAACGGCCAGAGCCTTGGCGAATTGGGTGACCGAATATGGTTAGTGTGCCACAACCTCACTCCATGTAGTGCGAATCGCAGCAAATCATAATCCTTTTGGATGGTGTCCGATCGCGTTAAAGCCACCGCATTAATCAAGAATGATGTAAGCCTAGTTGAGGCTCTAGAGATGCGGAGCCAGGACTCGTGATGGATAGGTATTAGTGATTTCGATGGTAGGATATTGTTCAACTATTTAGCCAAATCTCGCCGAGACGTGCATTTTGCTTGCCAGGCTGTCATTTGTTCAAGCATCAACCTCGGTGATTAATAATTCTAGATGGTTTACCTGAGCGTCATATCATCAAGCCATGGTGATATAAATGCTGGAACTTGCACAATGTAACTAGCAATCATAGCTACACGAAAATTACTCGATAACTGTTCACGTTACCTACTTTGGACATGGCAACCAATACCTCGTCTCTGCCGTTGGCAGGCAAGATCGCTATCGTTACCGGTGCAGCTCGCGGTATCGGAGCTTCCACTGCGTTGGAGCTTGCAAAACGAGGAGCAAAGGTGGGGACCACAATCTTTAGACATGATCGTCAGGGCTAATTGAATGACAGGTAACCATTACATTCGTATCACCTAGCAGCTCCAAATTGGCAGATCAAGTGGTATCCAAGATCAACAATCTTGGCAACGGTGCCTCTGCAATCAAGATCCAGGCCGACGCTGCGAACGTCGACTCGCCGAAGCAAATTGTTGCCGAGACCATCGCTGCTTTCGGCGACTCTATCGATATTCTAGTCAACAACGCTGGCAAGGAATTTCATGCCTTGCTTCCTGATATCACGGTAGAAGGCTATCAAAGTCTCTTCGATACGAATGTTCGCAGCGTCATTCTTATGACTCAAGCTGTCCTCCCGTATCTCCGGAGTCCAGGCAGGATCATCACGGTCGGATCTACGTTGGGTCGTATAGGACGACCTACGCATAGCCTCTACTCCGCAACCAAAGCGTCTCTAGAGGCTCTTAGTCGTGGCTGGGCATCGGAACTAGGCGCGTCAGGTCACACAGTCAACGTAGTGGCTCCGGCTTTGACGGAAACTGATATGCAGACTCGGTCATTTGGAGGAGAAGAAAACAAGCATGTACTTCAGCAACAGAGGGATATGACACCAATGGAGCACAGGCTTGGGAAAGCTGAGGATATTGCCTTAACTATTGCTATAATAGCGGATCCAGCTAGCAGATGGATTACCGGACAGACTATCCAGGCGGGCGGAGGAATCTACATGAATTAGTTCTGCTCTCAATCTTTTCCTCCACCTATAATGATCCAAACTTAGCGAAGCTCCAAAGATGTAATTCTTTCGTTCGTGCTGTGTCTAACCCGCTTCTCTATCGTGCTCATTTGCGCAGTGCGCTTTTTGCGTGGTATTTATTGCTGTAGCCAACCGATGCTCTTCGCAATTCTCTAAGACACCCAGTGCAACATTCCTGAATGGGACTCTTGCACAACATGTGTAGTCAAATCGACGAAGAACCGTCTTACAACACTGTTATGCAACCTGCTACTTGCTCGAATATCACTTCAAATAGTTCTCAGATACGTCGATATTTGCAAGCAATTTCAGACAACGACCAAGTTTTGCTGAATTAGGAGTAAACTACCAAGATTAGGAAGTGGATGTGACATAGCATTGCATGTGAGTAAACAGCCTCCAAAATCAGCTGTTCCCTCTGTGCGGAATAGTGAGTCTCTTGGATATGCAGGACTTTTAGTGCAACACTCGATGATGCAGCTTTCCAACAAATCCCTTCTTTGAGATTGTCTATCCACACTTCACTATCTCCGTCTGCTTTGATTACTATTCCGGCCTCGGTCTCGGCTCGGCTCGTTAGCAGCTTTTATACAAAACAAAACAACGGGTTGTTAAGCAGACTTACATTTAGGCAGTTTACGAGTTACTAAGCGATTCCGTACTTTGCTAGATAATCGTTTTGCGGATAGAAGTGGCGAATCTGGTTTGCGTCGTTAGTTCTTAAGCCGTACAACCCTGAGATTATCCCACGGTATGCAGATTCTCTCGCACTTACTATCTACATATCATTAACAGTCCCGTGGACTACTCTTCAAGTTACTTTCCATATTCATTTGAATCTGAGATTCACGATCCGAAATTGCATTCCAACTACAAGATATACCTGTCAGACCTTCGGTTACTCCTTCCATCATGGCTCTGAAAGTAGACGCAGAGTTTGCAAAAGCATTTGAACCTTTCGCCCAGACACTTGCATCAGTTCCCAAGGCCCCCGTCTTTGATGTTGAGTCCCGAGTCAAGGGTATGGCAGCATTCGTGTCCATGGCTCCTCAACAACCGATTGCCGAGGGAATCGAGGTCACTGATCATTGGATCCCTTCGAGCGACGGTACATCAATCAGGCTGCAACAGCTGTCTCCAGCCATCAGAGGGCAAGAGGGCGAACTGAAGCCTTGTATAGTTTATTTCCATGGCGGAGGTTTCATCGGCGGAGTTCCCGAAATGATCACTGGGTATCTCTCCCAGCTGGTCGCTGCAACCGGTGTGCAGCTATTCTCTGTGGAGTACAGGCTTGCTCCTAAGCATCAACATCCAGTTCCAGTGGAGGATGGTTATGCCGCCTTGACATGGGTGTCACAGAACGCAAGCAGATTCGAAATAGATCCCAGCCGGATTGCTGTCATGGGAGACAGTGCTGGAGGTGGTCTTGCCGCTGGCGTCGCACTGTTAGCTCGAGACCGCGGTCTACAGCCACCCCTCGCCAAGCAAATCCTTATCTATCCCATGTTAGACGACCGCTCTGATCGGGACCTCAGCAGTGTATCGAACTATGCTATCTGGCACGGCGATGATAACAGGACGGCCTGGAAAGCACTTTTGGGAGACAAGTATGGTAAAAATGAAGTGCCAGCTTATGCTGCTCCCGCTCGGGTGGAGAATGTTCATGATCTACCGTCTACGTACATGGACGTCGGATCTCTCGATTTGTTCTTGAAAGAGGATATTGTCTATCTAACCAGACTCGCGGCGGCCAACATTGACACAGAATTGCACGTATATCCAGGCCTTCCTCATGTCTTCGAAGTCTTCGCTCCGGGTGTGTCAGCCTCGTTGAGAGCATTCGAAAATCGGAAACGCGCAATCCTGAAATTGTAACGCAAATCACTTGAGAGGTCCAGCACACTATAAGTTTCTTTTTACCGAATATAACGATAATACACTTATGTATCAGCTCCCTGCGCGTAGCTCCTTATGCCGCCACCAAGTGACCTTGAAGCCTGCAGAAAGCCCACGTTCACTGATCCGCATGACTATCGCAACGTCATGTTAGCTGTCAGACATCGAAGAGGGTAGTGATGTCAATATAATTTAGCCAGTATATCAAACTTTACAAGGTTGACGACATGGAGAAGATCGTCACACTCTAGCAATGACTTAGCTATGAAGCTCCCAAACAGCTGGCTGCGATCCCATTTTCAGACGGGCCGAAAACTATTCAAACAACTTTCTTTCTCCAAAACTTCCCTGAAGACTCCACTCTCTGACCTCACTATGCATATTTCCAATGCTTCCATGCATCTTATGCAGATCTAGCTCTATTTGTTTGACCATATCGTCGCCAACAGCACCACTGAAAGTATGTATTGCCACCCAAGATGGTGGTTCGTGCCACATCTTCAATTCACCACCATCCGGCTTCTTAGCCCCGGCACTAGCGAACGAGAAACAACTCTCGAAAACAAGGCTACCGATGTAGCCTGACTCTTCCTTCAGCATGTATACCTGCTTGCCTAACAAAGCACTAATTTCATCTGCTTCAAGGTCTATGGGCGGCTGGATCTCCACTGTCACGATGCTCTTTGCCGGTTCTGCACAGCATTAATGTCAAGACTGAAGATTGTCAAGGATCAGGGAACGCACCATTATTCCCTTTTTTGATCGTCAGATTTTGCCTCAGAGCCAAATAGTTGGCGTCAAACTCAACCAGGTTGTTACAAGCAACAAAAGGAACTCCACCCTTGATGAAGGAGTCGGGGCTGAACGCCAACCGACGACCACGTCAGAAGGTAACGATCACCGCGGGGCGATGATCACGTGACTGGCCTCACGCCAAGG